CGCGGCTTTACACGAGAGTCGAGCCGATCGCGTTGGACCAGTTGATACCCAGCGGTGTTAACGAAGCTGGTCAGCGTAGCCCCGGTACGCTTCGGGCTCTCCTGATCCCGAGAAACCGGACGTCCCGATCCCATTGCACTTGGGAATAGCCCAAGGGTGACGGAAGGGCGGCTATCCAGTAGGGATACCTGCCCGCACATTCCCCCCCCCCCCCTTCCCTCCCTGCCTAGGGCAGGGAGGTTTCCTTCCTAGTTCACTCACACGCACGTCACATCACTATTTCACACTTATCACGCCATCATCCCTTAACCCCCGTCATTATGTCCATAAGCCCGAGGCAAGCTATTTATAACTTCACCTTCGCAAATTCTCTTTACTTTCGCGACCTGCCTTCTGTGCAGAGATCCCGCTTGGCGACTCAGCTCGCCCAAGAATTCCCTAATTTAGACCCAACTAATCGTCCGTCCGTTTCCAAAAATCTGACCGATCCCATTTTCCAAGCCCTTGTTAGGCGCATACAGGAGCTTGACTCCCAATTCGCTCGGTCCTCTCAGCCTGTCCGGCCCCCCACTCAGTCCGATTCCCCAGCTAGTCCCGATCCCTCCATCGCCTCCGGAAAGAGGTCCGCCTCCCAGCGTTCCTCTCCTTCCCAGTCCTCCGGCTCCCCGTCCGAAGTAGATACCCTGATGTCTGCGTCGGACGAGGGTCCGTCCCCTCCCCCTCCGTTTATCACCGTGGAGGGGAAGAGGAAGAAACGCCGCAATAAGCGCCGCTCTCCCTCTTCTTCCTCCATGGAATCCCAACCATCCCGCAATCATTCCCCTCTTAACCGCCCCGTTTCCCCCCGCGCCCCTGTGGCCGTCGCCCCGCCCCCGCGCCCGGTATCCCCCGCGACCCCCCCAGCCCCGACGGCTAGCCCGCCCCGCGCCCCCGCGTCCTCCCCCGCGTCCGCTAAACCGCCCCCAGTGTTCCTTAGAGACAAATCTCTTTGGCAATCGGTGGCCAACTCTTGCAAAATCAAAAACATCAACTACACTCAAGCCTCTAACGTGGGCGATTCAATTAAAATCTGCACTCCCGATATCATCGCGTTCCGGAGCCTAATTAAGCTTCTCTCAGATTCCAAATTCCCATACCACACTTTCGCTCTCCCGGAAGAGCGAAAGGTTAGGGCCGTTTTGCGCGGCGTTCCTTACGAACTCTCCAACGAGGACATCCTCAATGACCTCGTTAGTCAGTCATTCCCCGTCTTAGCCGTGCATAAAATGCACAACCGCTTGGGCAAGCGCTTCCCGCTCACCCTTGTCATTCTCTCGTCCTCCCCGTCCGCTCGTGATATTTTTAAGTCCGAGCTAACAGTTTGCGGCCTCTCAAAGGTCACTGTCGAGCCACCCAACCCCCGCGGTATTCCTGGCCAGTGTCATCGCTGTCAGCAATACGGTCACGCCGCCGCGAATTGCGCTGCCCCTCACAGGTGCGTTAAGTGCCTAGACCCCCATCCGACGCACGAATGCTCACGTACTCGCGACTCCCCAACCCCCCCCGCTTGCGTCCTCTGTGGCCAATCGGGCCACACAGCCAATTTCAAAGGCTGTCCTAAAGCCCCGCGCCCGCGTCCCAACACAAAGCCCGCTAATGGGCCCACTCGTCCGTCCCGCCCCTCGCGATCCACGCCACAGGCGAATACGAACGTAAATTACCCCCCCCTTCCGAAATCGGCGGCGCCGGCCACAGCCCCGGCCCCCCCAACCATCCCGACCCCGAAATGGAGACCCACCCCTACCCCGGCACCCAAAGCCCCATCTGTCCCTCCGGTACATAACACTACACGTCACACCACAAACACACACACTCACACTACCGCTCCATCCTCTCTTGGCGACGATTTATTACTTGTGCTAAGCACAATGAATAAAGTCGATCTCCAAGAAATCTCTGTGTTGGCCGCTAAAATAAGGCAGGCCAACAACTCGATAGAGCGTTTAAACGCGCTCTGCGAGCACTCAGCGCTGTTGTGCGCGTTGCAGACGCTAGCTCTCTAAGAGTTAGCGTCGGCAACGCGTCAACGGCATTCGCGGCGTCGCCCAGCGTTGCATTCTAGTTAGATTAAATTATTTTTTTATACTTGCAGTCCTCTTTTCGTCTAAGCTGGCGTGTCAAATTACAATGTCTATAAGGCTTGGATTTGCCACACTGCGTACGGCGGCTAAAAACACTGTTTTTAGCGTTCCCCGGTAGGTGGCGCCACGCAACACTTTACTCGTCCCTTGAACGGGTAAAGTGTTGCGTGGAGCAAACACTAGGCCCCCGATGTACTCTTAACGGCTTGTTTAAGTCGGAACGGAGTTTCCTCTCAGTTAAATGTAATAGCAACGACCGCACTCCCGTCCCTTTAGGCTACGGCCGACAGCAGTCCCTCTGGCTGTTGTAATGCCCACCCTGTTGCGAGCGGCCTTCCGCAGCTCACCAAACCGATACGGGCGTGCTCCAATAGGGAGCCGCTCGTCAAAGAAGCGCATATGTGCTAGTTATCACTAGGCAGCGCTGCATCGTCCCCTTCTCAGGGGACGATCGCATCCGATGAAGCCTTAAAGGCCTTCCCGGCCAGAGGCAGTCCCAACGGGTGTTTTTTAGTCAGTAAGAGTCTGACATAACCCTGCAGCCGGCTGCAGGGTATCCATGAGGATTTCTCACCCTCTCCCCCGCCTGGGAGGAAACAAAAAAAAAAAAAAATAAAAAGATTTGATATTCATTACTTTATCAGCGAGTCTTAATCATTTTCCTATTGTTGTTTATAACTTTTATTGGAATGATATTATTGTTTAATATTGTAAGTTATATTAAAATAATATGCTTTTGTCATTTGTCATCACAAAAGAATTTAGTTATTTGTGAGTAAAGATTTTATACTTTGTTTTGATATTTTGGTTTAAATAATCTGTATGACATAAAACAGACAGAAAAGAGCAGCCCTTGCTGAGTTTCTTGCCGGTTCTTCTCAGTACAAGGTCTCCCGCCGTAGTTTTGCGAACCGATGGCGTAGTTTTCGACTTTCACATGTAATTGTAAAAGCTTAAACTGAATAAGTGACTTTTGAATTGAATTGAATAAATAGTGTTTTTTTTGATTATTTATAATTTCGAAGGTAGATATTTTTCTTATAAAGTAAAGAAATCTGAGTCTATTGTACAGATATATTTCAATTCTATTTCTTTTTATATACTATATAGCAGTTGCAAAGTGTTTATAAAATAAATAGATAATGAAATCATAACACGTGCGGTAAAAAATGACAAAGGTCGAAGAGCGCTGACGCCGTACTGATCGGTGAGTAGTTGAGTTGAGAGCTGGTATATATTGCATTTTATAATGCGATTCAAATAAGAATAGGAAAGCCAATGACCTCCAAACGTCAAATGTCGCTTGAAAAGTACGGTTTGCAAAAAAACTTGGAACCCTTTTTTAGCACTCTGCTAATTCTAGAATAAAAACCAGACATTTGTAAACAAACAATAACAAATATTCATAATTAATATTGCTTGATTTTTTTTTTCCTTTATTGAGTTTTGGCTATGACTGATTAATAACCGTCGTGATTAATAAATCGTCAACCAAATGTCACATTAAGTTGCGTTCATAATCTCGATTTAAAACTCGTTTTCATAAGGGATGCATGTTCGTATGTGACCTAGTAATAGTGCATGATTATCATAACTACTCCGGCGGTAATGCAGAGATAAGCTGAATTGAAGAGCTAGATTCTGATTTTTTTTTTTTCCCACACAGTCTTAATAAATAAATATTATTAAAATTTGGTAGTTTTTTTTTCTCAATCTTAGTAAATATTCTAAGAAAAAAAAACAGATGTTTTTTCTTACTTAATCTTATAAGTTTCATTAAATAAAATATTTTTTTTGCTCACTCTACCTATTTGGCTTGAATTGACAGCTATGACGTCAAAATATGGCGCCCAGTCGGTCCTATTCTTAGTTGAATTGCATTATACGGGTGATGCGTGGCGACGCTGGCGACGTCACGCGTCAACATAATAATTGATACATCAAAATAATAATTGATTCATAGGATAAAATTGATTACGAATTCTTTTATAAAAAGTAAAGGGAAGGTTAATTAAAATTGATATTAATAAAACACACCTCCAAGTTTATTGGGAATTGAACGTAAAATTGCGTAAGCAAATAGAAAGTATCGTTCAGGTTGAATATGAATGGGTATTACTAATGGATTAGCTGGGGTAAAATTATCTGGATCCCCTAATAAATAGGGGTAAGTAAGAGTTAAAATAGATAAATTAAATAATAAATCTTATAAGTAAAAAATGGGTGAAATGGGATTTTATCAAAATTTCTATTAACTCCTGGAGGATTATTTGATCCTGTTTGATGTAAAAAAAGTAGATGAATCATAGTTATTATTAAAATAATAAATGGAAGGATAAAATCTATATCTATAATAGGTAGACATCGGTTTTACGTGCGCCAAAAGATGTTACAAAAAATGTGAGCCGTCACGGGAAGCCTGGCAGATGTGAAACATCGACATTATTTATATTTTTTTAAAGTAATATGCAGAAAAAGAACAGAATGCGATAGGAAATAGCCGGCGTAATCACTCTTCTAACTTCTTTTTGTGTTCTATGAGTCGAGCCATATGCTTGCTTTTCACATCACCCACGGTCCAAACAAGCAGCTAAAGAAGTCAGAAATCAGAAATCAATATATCTTTATTCAAATTGGATGTATAGTACAACACTTTTGAATCGTCCAAAAATTTTTTTTCCCTACCACTCGTTATTGGACATATTTTTTAGCTGCGGAGAAAAACGAGCGAAAAAAACTCCACAACATTTAAAGCATAATGTAACAACATTTACAAATCATTATGTTGTTACAACGTCAATAATATAGGAAACCTGTTGGGATGATTGGAACAGTTCAAATGTAAGTAAAGTAAGAAAAGTAAGTATTAAATTAACTTACTGTATAAAGTTTTTTTCCCGATTTTGTTGATGAATACTCCAATGGCCAAGTATGTGAGAGCGAAGACTGCCCCCATCGCCATGGATATAGGGAACACGCCTACTGACACCTCAGAACTGCAGGCTTTATCCACTGACTGTAACTGATAAAAAATAAATAATTAAAAACATGACTGCCGCTAAAATAATGAAGTATGAAATAAATAAAATCAAATATATAAATAAATATTTAAAACATTCACACCACTTAGCCTAGTCCCAAAGTAAGCACTGTAGGCTTGTGTTATGGGATACTAGGGTAACGGATAGAGTATTTATACTGATACATATACAAGTATATTTATATATATATATGAATTGAGTATCGAATACTCGTATTCAGCACACAAATATTTGCGCCCATGGGATTCGAACCCGCGACCTCTTGAGTAACCCGCCATACATACCACTCGGTCACGGAGGTCCTCAAATAATAATTAATAATTATTACCAACACTCACACCAATTAGCCTAGTCCCAGAGTAAGCAATGAAAGGCTTGTGTTATGGGATGCTAGGTAACGGATAGAATACATATACTATACATATTATATTTGTATACTTTATGTAAAAATATATATAATGAGTGTTTAGCGCGTTAGGCTGCGATCGCTGAAGTTAAGCAACTTTCGCAGTGGTCGGTCATTGGATGGGTGACCAGAAATCTTCTATCTCGAGTTCCTCCGTGCTTCAAAAGGCACGTTAAGCCGTTGGTCCCGGCTGCATCTGCAGTCGTTAGCACCCGCCAATCCGCACTGGGCCCGCGTGGTGGGTCATTGCCCAATCTTCCTATTCCATCCATAGGAAAGGCCTGTGCCCCAGCAGTGGGGACATTAATAGGCTGATGATGATGTTGATGATGATATATAAACATAAATAACTTAGGTACAAATGCTCGTATCCGAATAGGATGGAACGTTAGTGTATTTTTTATTACAATCGGTGGACCTTATAAGGTCATCTTCTCAGTACATTAAGTATATATCTGATAATAATCTGAAATAAATGTTATTATTATTATATTATATTATTATATGTAGATAAGTATGTATACAATGTAAAATATTTAACCACCTAAGTATCTAATAACCACCCATTGCCAAAGTGCTAAACTTGCCGCACTAACCAACGCGTACCACTTTATTGGGCAGTCGTGTAATATTTGTACAAAACATGTAACTATTGGGCAGTCGTGTAATATTTTTACAAAATATGTAACTATTGGGCAGTCGTGTAACATTTGTACAAAACATGACTGTAGGAATGCCAAAGGGGAAGATCTTCCTCAGAGCTGGGTGATGGTAGCTTGGGGGCCGCGGCCCGACTGATGTTGATCGGGCATCGTATATATGAAGAGTTAGCCTCCGAATTTCATTTGCGCGATGTAGGCTTCCATACTATTAAGATCGCAGTGCAGGTAACGCCATCTCTTGAGGATGGTGAGTAATGATTTCCTCCATCCGTAGATATAGATGTCGCCGCCACATGACTATTGGGCAGTCGTGTAATATTTGTACAAAACATAATAATATGACTATTGGGCAGTTGTGTAAAAAATATAACTTACTGTCATATTTCTTTGCTTTATTATTTTCTCCTGAATGATAGTGCATATCGTGAGGCTCTGTTCACTGGTATTCTTCAATATGTTGTTTAAAATATCGGGAACCCACATGTATAAGCCACTCGATCTGAAAAACGATATATAATTATGGATAAGACCTATGGTCATGATGATTTTTAGGTCGCCATCTTTGGAATACAGGCTTGCCTATGGAAAGAATGCCAAATAGTGCCGTAATCTACCATGAGGACCAGAATAACTAACTTTTGACTGCAAATAAATTGATAACTATCCCTCCCCCCCCCCCCCCCACCCGACTTCATTGTTTCTCCGTATTAAGCTAAATTGTTATTTAAAATATTTTATGTTCTAATGGTAAGTCAATTTTGTATTTTTTTTTATTAAAATAAAGATCTATAAGGGTAAAAGTTACAGTTCTAGGTAAAACTGTACTTCCAGGGCCCAAGAGAGTTTTTTGTTGTAGAAAAGGTCTCTTTTAATAGTGTTTAGAGGACACAACACTAACCTAACCGAGTGTGAAGTATCACTGCTTGGGCCCTGGGGGCCAATCGCCTAACGGAAATGCTTTGGAAAACGCTAACGCTTACGATTTTATATTGTTATTTCTAGCCGCCTGAGGTATTCAAATGCCTCGCGCTCTTTCTTTTTCTTTTGCATTGGTAATAACAATATTAAAAAAAATGAGCGTGAGATATTCGGAAACCTCAGGCGGCTAGAAATAACAATATAAAATCGTAAGCGTTAGCGTTTCCCATAGCATTTCCGTTAGGCGATTGGCCCCCTAGAAGTATAGTTTAGCCCAGTTCTGTCTTTGAAACAACTCAAATACATAGAACAAGACTCACAGCATGAATACGGCGAACATGGAGACGTGTGAGATGACAACGCATCTCAGCAACGGCGGCTTGAACAGTAACGAGATGTTCTTGATCGCTCCGGCAAACCCTGAGCTCTTCTCGGCTTCTATGCTGCTTGACACTATTTTCCTCACCTGGAAATAACATTATTAAGTGTTACTAGCAAACCAGTGAACCAAATGTTCACCAAAACCTGATTTCTCGAAAACCGGAAGTGCTACGTTACTCAAATCCGGTTTGTAGTCTTATCAGACTATTCTTTACTTATAACTTAAATATTCTCTTTATCTATCTCTTACTGTTTGGCCGCTGAAACAGCACCACAGATAGACGGACTTGTCTAATAGATAAGAGATAATATTATTTTTTAAACATGTAACTGCTTGATGTTAAAATCGAAAAAAATCCACGCGGACCAGGCAGCATACGGGACTCGAACCCACCCTTCTGATTATGCTAACGCGGCCCTGATGGCCGTGTATAATGCGATTCAAATAAGAATAGGAAAGCCAATGACATCCATCTGTCAAATGTGGCTTGAAAAGTACAGTTTGCAAAAAAAAACTTGGAAATCTTTTTTTAGCACTCACCTAATTCTAGAATAAAAATCAAACATTTGTAAACAAACAATAATAAATATTGATAATTAATATTGGTTGATATTTTTTTTTTTTCATTTATTGAGCTTTGGCTATGAATGTTTGTCAACCTAAATCGTCAACCATATCGCACCTTTATTCCAATACTGTCATTAAACAAAATTCTTCAAAAAATAGTTTTCAACGACATCTATTTGCTACGTTATGAATCTACACATTTGCTGCTCTGCGGCATAATTTGCTTTTTACCCGGCTGCGCAATGCAAGAGCGCGAAGCGCGACGCGCAGACAGGGTTATGTGTTTAACAGTCTATATATGTATGTTTGTTCCTTTGTGGCACACTAGAGACCAAACTTCTGGACCGATTTTGATGATTCATACATCAATCGATTCGTCTCAATCATGGGAGTGCTACTAAAGATATGATAATAATCAAAATTCAATATGGGCTAAATAAGGCGCCATATTGTGACGAAGTAAAAAAAATAAGTTGACAAAATATGTCGAGTGGGGTATCACTGTCTAGATAATCAAAAATCATATTTAGGTTCCTAACACTATTTTTCATTTTATATGATTGTTTAGGATCTACAACGCTTTAAAGTTGTATATTAACCACTTACGCTTTTAATTTCAATCTTACGTTTGTATGGATCTTTGTTACTCTTTCACCTAAAAAATACTGAATGGATTTTAATGAAACTTAACAGTAATATAGCTCATATATGATAATTACATATACACACATCAAAAGTGTCTAGGGATCAAGCATTTTTATGCGGATTTCTTGAGATTGAGATGTGGCTTTGTAATAAATTTATGATTTTATAAATTTATATGGATCCTTTTTGGTGCATTTCATAATTTGAATCAGGAACTGTGAATCAAATTCGAGTAAAAGATGAAAATCAGCTGTCAATATTTTCCCTATAAAAACATACAACGCATTGAAGACATTATTAGTGCTACTGTTTCCCTACTACTGATTAAAACCAACGTTATTATGGAGCGGCGACGTCATTTAAGCAGGGAAGAAATGCTCAGAGCCGTGGGAATGATAGAAGCTGGTTCCCGGCAACGTACTGTGGCTTTAGCTCTGAATACAAGTCAGAGTGTTATCAGTCGACTTTGGACACGATACCGAAGCACTGGTACCGTGGCTGAGCGCCATGGAGGACGGTATCGCTGCACCACACGGAGACAAGACCGATACATTCAAATCTTAACTCGAAGAGCTCCAACAATAACCGCCATGATGTTAGCCGTGAGGCTTCATCACTCTTCAGGGAACTTAATTAGCGACCAAACAGTCAGAAACCGCTTGCATGAAGTGAACCTTCATTCCCGAAGACCGCTACGGGTACCACCTATAGCAATGCACAATCGTAGGATTCGATATCAATGGGCTCTTGAACACAGAAATTGGGCAGAAGAACAATGGCGTTTCGTGTGCTTTTCTGATGAGTCTCGTTTTGGTATGAGACCGGATACAAGACGTATACGACACTGGAGAACCCCTGGACGCCAACAGCGATTAAAATCCTGCCAGGAAGTCCATCCTTATAGTGGTGGAACCATCATGGTATGGGCGGGTATTTGGATCGGCGGAAGAACTGAGTTGATTTGGATCAGAGGCAACCTCAACGCTCAAATTTATGCTGAGACGATTGTATCAGACGTCATCGTTCCTCTACAAGTGCAAATCGGTCCCTTATTTCAGTTAATGCATGATAATGCACGACCGCACACCGCAAGAGTTGTAAGACAGACTCTCGCCGCAGCTAACATCAATGTTTTTATGTTGTTTTTATGAAAATTTTATTATGCGCCTTTAGTTTAATCAAATATTATAAACTTTGCTTTGGTGATTGCATAATTATTTAATTTAGTGATCTAAGGCAATTGCCACCATTGTCCAAAACAACAGACAGGAATTACTGCTTTCTTCAACCTGCGACATAAACGTCATTGATTGGTATTGTATATAGGGTGATTAAAAACATTTGAAGTTAACTTCTGGCATCTACATATTGGGTTTCTGTGAATTATGTAGGTTAATCAAATTATGAGACTAGGGACTGACACTGAATTTGTGTATATCACAATCTTAGACGTCCGGCATTGACATGACAATGCAGCCACTGCCAATTTTAAATAGTCGACGAATAAAAGTAAATGAATTTTATATTTACTGCTAAACTATTAAAAAAAAAAAAACAAAAGATGACTTTTTGAGGAAGTGCTAGTTTACTATAAAATTTACATACATAAGAGATATTTATATAACGACTTGATTTAACTTCACACATTTTTGCGAAAATTGAGGCCCATCTGTAGCCTTGACCCCGCTGGTAAAGTCTTTATATGTCTTAATAAATCAATCTTTTAGATCGACGCCAGGTACTTAATAATTCCTGCGATATTAATTCCCATACTGAAGTACAAGACTACGGTATATACCGTCTTAGAAAACTAACTAACTAAAAAGTGTGAAATAAAAAAGGTAAATTTAAAAAATCAAAAAACCCGACTGCTTAATTATGCTTCAAATAAAAACTGAAAAGAAAAAAACAAGTCCAGTAGTATATAATTCTGTTAATAAGGAACAAAGCTACTTTAACAGTCGGGACCCACTGTTGAAAAATATTATGTATTCTTGAATATCTAATGGGTCCCGACTGTTAAAGTAGCTTTGTTCCTTATTAACAGAATTATATACTACTGGACTTGTTTTTTTCTTTTCAGTTTTTATTTGAAGCATAATTAAGCAGTCGGGTTTTTTGATTTTTTAAATTTACCTTTTTTTATGATAATGATAATATTAGAATAAAGGTGCGATATGTCATTTTAAGTTGCGTTCAGAAACTCGATTTGAAACTTTCGTTTACATAAGGGTGCATTTTCGTATGTGACCTAGTAATAGTGCATGATTATTCATAACTACTCCGGTGGTAATACAGAGATGAGTGGAATTGAAGAGCTTAATTCTGATTAATGTTTTTTTCTCACAACTATGTGAGAAAAAAACATTAATCAAGACTACTTAATAAATAAATATTATTAAGAATCGGTTGTTTTCTTTTCTCAATTTCAGTAAATAAGTTTTATTAAAAAAAATCTGATGCTCTTTCTCACTTAATCTTAGTAAATAAGTTTTATTGAATAAAATCTTTTTTTGCTCACTCTACCTATTTCGTTTGAATTGACAGCTATGACGTCACAATACGGCGCCCAGTCGGTCCTATTCTTCTTAGCCTTTCTTAAGCTGCAAGGCAGCGCCATCTCTTCGCATTGTTGGTAACCCACAATGTCAAATAAATACCTTTGCAAGTATTGAAAATTCGAAAGAAGAAATAGCAATTATAGTTATTATTTTTTAAGCATGTCACTGCTCGATATTTTTTTAATCTAAAGAAAATATTACTTGAAAAAAATATTAAGTGTTTTCTTTTAAACTGAAGGAATTGTTAACTTTTCTTCTGTCTTATTTCGGTGCTATTGGTTTACACCTCGATAATACTGCAAATGTATGGGATTTTTTATTATTTAGTTGCTTATTTTTACTCATTGCGATCAGGGGAGGTTAAAGAAATTTATCAAATCGAGATGAGATACAAGCAGAAGTTTTTGTCTGCTAACAAATAGACCCAACTCCTATCGTAGCCTTAAAATATGACATTTGAATGATATCCTCATTTGTTTCTCGTGGTCCACCTCGTAGTCCACCCAGGTGGACCACGGGGATTATTTCTTTCCTGTGGTCTACCCGCATAGCCATATGTTTCTAACAGTAAGTTATGGATGTTCTTATGAACAAAAGAGCATTTACAATTTTTAAAAATCGCGTATATTTTATAATCATTTAATTAGCGTAGTTTTTCTAAAGCGATGCCTATAGAAATATTGTTGTTAATTAACTGCATCTGAATATCTTTTATATAATCATTGTTTTCAATTAATTTGCGCCTTTTTGATTTTGCAATTCTTATTGTTCACAAGACACTCAAGAGCCGTAATAAATTGAGGAAGAGTCAGGTGGACCACGGATAAAAATTATTTCCCGTGGTTCATCCAGGTGAACTACGGTGGGAAAAAAATACCCGTGGTCCACCTGGTGAACCACGGGAAATAAATAATCCCCATGGTCCACCTGGATGGACTACGAAGTGGACCACGGGAAACAAAGGGATATTCTCGTACTTCTACAACAAATTACTATAGTCCTTCCGAGGACCAAGCGCGCTGGCCTTCGTTGTCACCGTCTAACTATTGTAACAATTCCAATGCCTACAACGAAATTTGGTGACTCTTTTCTTTGTCGCACTAGCCGTAAATGGAATGCTCTGCCTGCTCACGTGTTCCCTCCTTCTTACAAGCGTGAAGAAGCAACATGCAGGCCGGCAAGGTGAGGATGGCTGGTGTGGCAGGTTGAACTGCTGTACCAGCTATCTTCACGTCTGGACTTCACCGTCACTTAACATCAGGCGGGGTGGAGTCATTTATCTGACCATATATACACCTGATAAAAAAAAACGCTCTCCCCCATATGTACTGGTTTCCCTTTCATTCTCCTCCCTTGAAGTTCCATAACATTACTGAACTTGCTCCACTTTTCTTCAGCTCTTATCACATGTCCTTAGTAGTACGGCGGGCTGTTTCCACAACTTAAAACCCAGTGCCTATTTTGCGTGGGGATTGGCATCAGTCCTGTCATCCCAGTTCATCTTTTATCACATTATAAGAGCTAAATAAAACCAGCCAACCAGGAGACCAGCCTATCAAAGACTGTTCCAATTATCAAGTTTACAGATTCTTATGTCAAAATAACTTACCGGGTTATATAGGGATGATGACTAATTTTTTTTTCTTCGTTTATCAGGTAGATTATCAAAAAGTATTGGACACGTATTTTTTCTTTTTTCACATTATATAAACATTGCAGAGGTATATTGATTTGAAAAGCCGCATGACGTCACGTTTTGTTATACTTTTAAGTGAAAATTCACTAAAAAGTGACGTCACGAGCCCCTACTCCCAAACTTTGACGCGCTATAACTTTGTCATTTTTTGGTTGATTGCCAAAAGAAAAAATACGTGTCCATTATTTTTTGATCATCTAACTGACGGACTAAATAGAATTTTGTTTACTGTACCCCGTCATCACCCCTGTTGAAAGTCCTATTATCCACGCGTAGATGTTGCGAGTACTACATGCAGGACTGTATCAGGGCCCCAAGGCATCACAGTGAGACTAAAGATGGACAACGGCTATTTACCATAGGAATTATTAACCACGTAATTCCTGGAATGCCAGACCATCTAAGACTGCACCATTTGTGGAATTTACAGCCGATAAAAGTAACTTACTGGGTAGTTATAGTTAGAAGTTCTATGGTTCCACGCGTGCATTTTGGCGAGTACTGGCAGGGCTGAATGAGGGCCCTTCGAAGAGAGCAAATAGCGTGGATTTACAGATAGGATACTGATCCTAGAGAGAGCGGCCACTAGCACTCTTAAACCACAGTGAGATCACCGATACCGAACGACCATTTACCAGACAAGCCCTAATAACTTACTCGGTAAATATAATTCGAAGTCCTATAGTTCCATGCGTAAATCTTGGCGAGTAGAGGCAGGGCTATATGAGCGCCCTTTGAAGAGAGCAGGTAGCGTGGACTTATAGATAGGATCAGCAGGAGAGCGGCCGCTACCAATCTTGAACCACAGTGAGATCACCGATACTGAACGACTATTTACCAAACAAGCCCTAATAACTTACTGTGTTATTATAATTGGAAGTCCTATGATTTCTTATGTACATCTTGGCGAGTACTGGCAGGGCTGAATGAGGGCCCTTCGAAGAGAGCAAATAGCGTGGATTTACAGATAGGATACTGATCCTAGAGAGAGCGGCCACTAGCACTCTTAAACCACAGTGAGATCACCGATACCGAACGACCATTTACCAGACAAGCCCTAATAACTTACTCGGTAAATATAATTCGAAGTCCTATAGTTCCATGCGTAAATCTTGGCGAGTAGAGGCAGGGCTATATGAGCGCCCTTTGAAGAGAGCAGGTAGCGTGGACTTATAGATAGGATCAGCAGGAGAGCGGCCGCTACCAATCTTGAACCACAGTGAGATCACCGATACTGAACGACTATTTACCAAACAAGCCCTAATAACTTACTGTGTTATTATAATTGGAAGTCCTATGATTTCTTACGTACATCTTGGCGAGTACTGGCAGGGCTGCATGAGGGCCCTTCGAAGAGAGCAGGTAGCGTGGACTAACAGATAGGATCAGTAGGGGAGCGGCCGCTACCAATCTTGAACCACAGTGAGATCACCGATAGCGAACGACCATTTACCAGACAAGCCCTAATAACTTACTCAGTAATTATAATTTGAAGTCCTATAGTTCCACGCGTAAATCTTGGCGAGTAGAGGCAGGACTGTATGAGGACCCTTCGAAGATAGCAGGTAGCATGAACTTACAGGTAAGATCAGCTAGAGAGCGGCCGCTACCAATCTTGAACCACAGTGAGATCACCAGTACCGAACGATTTACCAGAAAAGCCCTAATAACTTACTGGGTAATTATAATTGGAAGTTCTATGGTTCCACGCGTACATCTTGGCGAGTACAGGCAGCGCTGCGTCAGGACCCTTCGAGGAGAGTAGGTAGCGTGGACTTTCAGGCAGGACCAGCAGGAGAGCGGCGGCCACCAATCCTGGCGCGCACCACGACCAGATGAACGCGCGCCAGGGAACCACAGTGAGGCCACCGAAGGCGAACGACCATTTACCAGGAATTATCAACCACGCAAGTCCTAGAACATAATGATTTATCTGTAATATATACATATATATTCGTAGATATAAATTGGATGCAAATAAGGAACCACTTTTTTCCTACCACTCTGTTTTAAACATGATTTTACTAAATTATTTATAAAGTTCGTTTTTTAGGTTTCTTAAATTACCCCCTTAAAGAGGATTGGAAGGGCGTCAAAGATTTTGCTTATACTTATGGATGAATTATAACGCACATTTGGAATAACATTTGGTGAAAGTTTGTATGAAAAAATCTTACTAAAAACTAAAAAAAACTAGTATTTCACGGGTTAATGCACGAAACTTTATTTATTTATTGACGTTTCGCAGCCTTTACAGGCTGCGTTAAAGTTTCGTGCATTAACCCGTGAAAAACTAGTTTTATTTAATGAGTGATGTGCGTGAAAACCTAAGAAACAAATACTTATTCTTTGAGTTGATAGACTTGAAACTTGATACGAATACTTATCCAAATAAATTATAAAGTTTGACATTTTTGGTTTGCCTAAACTACTACTTGGAGGGTGCCGAAATTTTTATATGGATAAATTTTAACGCGTATTTCGATTAACTCTTAACTCTATACTTGAGACCTGAAATAAAGAATAACATGTATCAGGGTTTTTTTGATATCTGCCGAAAGGGGTTTCATTCCGATAAAACGCAATGCATTAGTGATAAACAGTGCCACAAAGAGATTCCATATATTATTTCTGCACTGTTTTGGCTCTGAGCAAAAATACGTCCTTTGTGATCAGTTTTGTGGTGATTAATGAATTATTTTGGAAACGTCAAAATCTTTTTAGGAAATTGAAAAAAAACGGACTTTTTTCGACCGAAAAGTCGTGTGTTTTCACAGAAAATTTCTGATATCTCGAGAGCGGAACGAAATGTCAAAAATATGAAAAAAAGCACCTTGGTATTGAACAAAGGAACATTTTAGGTCATTACACTTTTTTCGCTATTGGTGACGATTGAGGCCGTAGTATACCTATAGTTGCGTATCACGCGGCGGGCGGCTCGCGTGCGGCCACGAATACGTATGAGAGCTCAAAAGACGCGGAATTCGAAGGGCTTCAAGATGAATTAAAAAATATTTTGAAAAAGTTGTTTATTTAATAATCTATAATAAGTAGATTCATTTTGAATGCCCTTTCAAGGCGTGCAGAGCACGAGATTACCATTCAATACACGTGTAAACCCTTACCATTCAATACACGTGCAAACCCTTACCATTCAATACACGTGTATAATTCAGAGAAGGTCACTCACAGTTGTAGGAAATACCTATAACGGTATGTAATTAAAGTAGTATTTTACCCACAGGTGGCATAATAAATAATAAGATATTATAATTGTTAATAAGATAACGCCAAATCTTTCTTTGGTATTTATGTTAATGGCGATATAATCTACAAACAAGGTCGCAAAATATGAATAAGTTTTGGAATTTAAGTTAAACGCTTTTGGTTATGTTGTATTAAGTCTGAAGGTTTTAAGCGTCTCTCGATAAAGATATCAGGATCATGATAGAAGAATATAAACACAACGTTTTTATTAAGTACTTAATTTTTGAAGTTATACTTCTTTAGGCGCGTTATGAAAAAATAATGAGAGTGAAATTTTTAGATGCGCGCGCATCACTGTAACACAAAATTTTAACAGCATGAAGTTGGTCGCTTTAGCGAATAGAAATAGAATCTATTTAGTGGGTGCTAACGACTGCATTGTCAAGGCCTATCAAAAGTATTTATTAATCTGGAACAACGGAACCAAAGCGCGATTCAGGAGACTACAGCGCCATCTCTTGACCATTGGTGTAGTAAAACCAAAAACCACATCTTTATTTTTTGTAATAAAGTAACAGTTATAGGTATTCATATTTATAATATTTATCCACATGTTTCTAGTTTGTATATTCGGAATACGTGTTTGAGTTTCATACAAGTGCAAATCACATATGTTCTAATAAATTATATTCAGTAGCGATTTTAATTGAATATTTTGATTATTTATTTATTTTTTCAAATTAAAACTGAACTTTATTGACTGTGTCCTTTTCCAGACTTTTTATTTATTTATTGTAATTAATTATTTGCATGCAATTAAAAACTAATTTTAAACGATGCCAAAGAAGGATAACTTCTCACGCGCCTACATAAGTACACGCACCCATTTTTTTACATAGAACGTTTGTACGGAAACCGATGACGCCTGCTCGCCCCCACTACACTTCCTCCTAATTGGTAATAATAGCCTATCAAACGTCGCGACATTAAACAATTGAACCAATCAATGCTCACACCCGAGCGCAACGACGCATCAGAACCAAGTTTTGGTCAAGTTATGAGCATTTGCTCGCACATAACTCTGGTTAAGTTTTTTATGTGTGTTTTGCCACCCTTGGCAAACAAGCGTATGGCCCACCGGATGGTAAGCCTCCTTAATTATGATGGCGCATTTATACCTATAGTATCGCTGGCTAGTGCCTACGCTTTTTTTGCGTGGGGTTATCCGTGACGCATACCCGCTCATAAGAAAGCGAACGGGTTATGTCGGACTCTCCCCTGCCTACCAATCAGATGACAACAAAATTTCCCCTTGTCTGCAGGCACGGGCCTACCGACTATAACCCCACAGTGTTTCGTCCCCAGCGATGGGTCGCGGAATCGAACTAACAGCCAGGCCATGTCTTCAAAAATTCCAAATTTCTTCCGCCCGCATCAAGGCCCATCTTCATTGCGGCTTTCCGCTCTTCTGCATCGGGCGGCGACATACCGAATCACATGTATGTATGTACCGCACACTAATTCATTGAGCCGTTGCCTACCCTGCCTCAATCCCCTACCTCGTGGTGCCCTGGAGCCTTACTCAAAGAAAAGCACAACACCACCAGAAGATAATGTAAATCTAGTGGAGCTTTCGTCATTCCTATATCTTCCTTTTAGTATTTACCCACATAATGAGGGCTATCGCGTATGAATCCGCCGCTAGAGGCGCTAGTGTAGCGTGAGGTCTCCGAAATGTCAAATGTTATTGCTTGTTGGTTGACTACGCGGGTTTATTTCTAATTAAAATAATGTTGTGAATAATTGGTAACAATTCGGCTTAATTATGGCAAATATGAGTTATGTGGCAATGAATGTCAGTTATTAAAAATTTGAGCTTAGAAAAATGATTATGTTCCCATTTTTTCCGAATAAAACGGAACTGCGCGTCACTGTGGCATGACCTATTATGTTTAGGATATGGTTCTTTTGTGTTAAAATACGATCTAAATGTAACCTTTGATTTCATGTGCGTATTAATAAACTTTAAAAGTTACAATTTAGGACCTCACTCAACAGTGGCGCCATCTGGTGAGGCAGAAAACGGTAGCCCTCATTATCTTACCGATTCTTTTATAGGTACCATTTTAGGTACAATTGTTATTTTCTTATTAAAATGGGTCGGTAAGTTATGTTTACGTTAGATATTATACTTACACGTTTGTTTGAAATGTTAGTCTTTCTTGTTGCTTGTTTTTTTAATTGGGTCCTGTTCTAATTAATAAATAAATATTAGTTTAGCTTCGAAGTAAGCACTGTAAGGTTTGTGTTATAAGGAACTAGGGTAGCTTAGAGAAATACATGATACATAGCTATATTTTCGTGGAGGTTCATATGCTCTTGCTTAAACATTCTCCCCATCGGGATTCGAGCCTAGAATCTCTAAGTTGGCGAATGGCACCTTAAAAAAATCGATGTTTTTTGCTATCGAACCAATCGGTTCCTGGCTCACTTCCCAAATAATTCGCTTAAGAACAGACAAGTTTTCATCTTAATAGAATGCGGAAAGGCACTTAGGACCTTATAATAACAAGGAAACTGTATTAATGTGAATCAAAGTTAATTGATTTTTTTTTATTAATGCAGTAGATCACTTTTTAGATAAAATTCGAAAAATTATTTCTTAAAAATAATACTTTCGTAAATTAATAGGGAAATCCTAAGGGGCAAACCTCCTAATAAGTAACGTCATCACTATGTCACAGGGAGGCGGCAAAATCTGTCAAGTCAATTATGATTTTTCTGAAAAAACCTAGTTTGTTTCCAGGGATACATAATATAATATGCATAGCACGTTTTTTTAAAAGCGTTCTTATATCTTACAAAGCAGTTTGTTGTCGTTAGCATCGCTTTTGTGGCTCTAAGCGTCCTTATTGATTTGCAACGATCGTACTTGTAAGAAATTAAGCTTATCGCTTAGATTAAAACAAAAAGGGTAGATACGGCACTAGCCTCACATAAGTGATCCACATAAATTGTGGTCCACGACCCTAATCGCTTTAGTCACAACTTGACATGCAAACGACGTAGATGTGAACGCCAAAAAGATATATTGCTAATATTTTGTGTTTATATGATAAAACAATGCCTAAGTGTGTTTTTTAAAAGTGCTCAAATTGCGCAAGAACTAAAAATAAAACCCACGGCATCACTTTTCATTCGTAAGTACTATAAAATATTTTTTTTCTTAAAAATTGCTGTTTGTTTTGAATCTTATTCGGTAGTGTCGTCGAGTACTGGTCGCGTGATTGGTCGGTAGTGCAGTGACGCGGATCTCGCCGTCCCGTTCGCGCTGCCGTGGGATCAGTTTTTGTTTGATGCAAGTATGAGCGTACCGTATCTACCCTTTTTGTTTTAATCTAAGACTTATCGTGGCTCCGGATCAAATTGGCTGCTAGTATTTACCACTCACACCACGTTTAAGTCGCGGCACGAAACTCTAGCGCTGTCCTTTATTGCGCAGAAGTAAAAATTAAGATGTCTTGGGGGGAAATGAGGTGCGCGGGTGGGCGTGCGTTGCGCCGATTGGCTCTCCAGTCGTACCCATGCGAAGCTATCCCCCAGCGATTTGTTCAGCGCTGGAGTTACGCGCCGCAACCTATAGGTTGTCTTAAATTTAATAAGAATCGTGCTTAATCTGTGTGATATAAGAACCATATTATGTTAAGCTATTTGATAAAAAAATTCTATTGGCTTTAAAAGTAAAGTAAAAAATCTGTGATTTGATTATTATAATATATGTGAATATTGGTTTCTTACTGATGATTAATGTTTTGAATTTTATAGATATGTTGATTAAGTACTTAGATTTATAACCTTTGTGTTTTTATGTCTTTTACAATGTTACTTTACTACACGACTGTACTTTACCGTTCCAAATGATTTAGCCAAATAGTTAAGTGCCCAAATAAATAAAGAAATCAATATTTTCAACACTCACACCAATTAGCCTAGCCCCAAAGTAAGCACTGTAAGGCTTGTGTTATGGGATACTAGGGTAACGGATAGAATACATATACTGTACATATATAAGTATATTTATATCGAAATACATATTAAACATCCGTGACTGGAGTACAAATGCTCGTTTTCATCACACAAACATCTGCGCCCACCGGGATTCGAACCCGGGACCTCTCGAGTCGGCGACACCATGAAACCCGGCGTACAAGCCACTCGGCCACAAAGGTCGTCGAATAGGTCCCATTGTGTCGGTAAATACGTCTTTGAGGGTCCAATGGGCACCATGTTCTTGGTAAGAGGTCGAACGGGCACTTTTTTGTAGGTAAGGTCTAATTAGGAGGGTCCAACGGGTACTAGACCAATTTAATTCACTCGTCAGTGGGAAGTTAATGGCTGTTGACGATGATAATGCTGGGTTACCTGGTAAGGTGATGAACGAGAAAGATATGAAGACCGACCCCCACGCGATGGCAGACGCTCGTCGAGTATTCGTATGCATTTCTCCGAGGTACGCATAAACCGTTGCACTCGATGCTGACACCCTACGAAAGAATGGATTGGGTATAATTAGGGCGTTTTCCATTTTTGAAGTTATACTTCTTTAGGCGCGTTATGAAAAAATGATGAGAGTGAAATTTTTAGATGCGCGCGCATCACTGTAACCCAAAAGTAACAGCATGAAGTTGGCCGCGGGCGCGTTATGAAAAAATCATGTGAGTGAAATTTCGAGATGCGCGCGCATCACTGTAACACAATAGTAACACCATGAAGTTGGCCGCGGGCGCGTTATGAATGTTAGTGTCTAACCACTTAGTGGTTAATAATCCACCATTATTAGACATCTGTTCGAAAGGTACTTTGAACGATCCACGGAGCTCCATAAGATGATCGCGTTGTCAAAAACAATGTTGGCACGTTCGTCGCCTCTGATCACTGTTTTCATATTTATAATATTTATCCACATGTTTCTAGTTTCTATATAGACACAACGTGTTTTAGTTACTTACAAGTGCTAATTACATATGGACTAATAACTTAAATTCAGTAGTGATTTTAATTGAATATTTTGAATATTTATTTAATTTTTCAAATTAAAACTGAACTTAATTGACTGTGTTAACTATCCTTTTCCAGTCCTTTTATTATTTTATTGTAATTATTAATTATTTGCATGCAATTAAAACATATTTTTAATGATGCTAAAGAAGTATAACTTCTCACGCGCGTACATAAGTTACACGCATCCATATTTTTTTGAGTGTGTATGCAGTTGGTCTCAGATGACCTTTACAGCGTCACCGGGTTTGGGGACGGCTCTTAAGGGACCTCAAGCCGGGAATTGGCGAGAGCCTCTAGAGGTATACCCGGCGGAAGGCATCTCCCCGCGGGGGGAGTCTCCTCTACGTCTGGAGCCTCTAGACCACTCGAACCTGCGAGGTCGGCTAATCTAGAGGGCGTCTCTGAGACTCGGACCTCGGCTCTAGTTAGCCGTTGTCGTGGGGGGCGGGGAACCATAGCGCTTTCAGTATAGTAGTTAGACCACTCGAATCTGAGTAGGAGGGCGTATTCAGTTGACCCGCGACGACAGCGCAACCTTAAAAATATGTGTATTATCATAATTTTTTTAATAATTTTTGCAAATACCCTTTTATTTTATTGCAAACTGGTACCACGGGGTTCTACTCTCTTTCTCCGAAACGAACTTTCGATAACGTAGTTCAAACGAAATTGAATTTCGTCAATTTAAAGTTATACTAATTTGAACAATAAACTATCAAATTGAAGCTTTCTTTGAGTGGAATTAGAAAATCTACACCGCAATTTATATTCTGACGATGAATATTTTTATAATTAAAAACGAACCAGAAACATAGTAAGAAAAATGCAGTTTCGATCGAAATTTCGTTTTTCGTTGAATTAGAAAGCCTTCTGGTACTAACTTTAATAACAGTGATTCTAATTTGCAACAAAAATAGGCCAATCAATCATTCTTACATAAGAGATAAAAAATCTGATATGAATAACTCCAATGTACTTGATATTTCTATCGAGTTTCTGTTACTTAATCAGCCAAGGTCTATGTAAATTGCATTTCCGAATGATGTAATAGTAGGTACTTACATTAATTAAAATTGATTTTAGCAGCTATTGCAAAAAAATTGCTACTGCACACATCTAACACTTTATAGACGGATTTAATAGTCTTATGATCATGGAGGAATACACGTTCAAAGGACAGAAACCTGTAAATGTAAGGGGTTCGAACCGTCTTTATAGAATAACTAAAAAAGCTTTATAAATCTTACTGGGTATATCCATAAAAATATTTTTATTTATTTCTAATTACCACGGCATATTAACATTTACAGCAATTAGTTAATAAAAAAAAGAATAGGGATAATGACCAATTTTTTTTTCTTCGTTTATCAGGTAGATTATCAAAAAGTATTGGACACTTATTTTTTCTTTTTTCACATAATATAAACATTGCAGAGATAAATTGATTTGAAAAGTCTCATGACGTCACGTTTTGGTACAATTTTCACTTAAAAGTGACGTCACGAGCCCCTACTCCCAAACTTTGACGCGCTCTAAGATAACTTTGTCGTTCTGTAGTTGATTGCCCAAAGAAAAAATACGTGTCCATTATATTTTGATCATCTAACAGACGGACTAAATAGAATTTCGTTTGCTGTACCCCGTCATCACTCCTATTGCAAACATGAGGACTCACACTCATTTTTCTCGCAAAACAATAGACAGTCATACATTATTTTATTCCATCCATCCATCCATCCACTCAGTACTCAGTCTTATCAGCCAGTAGTGCATTCAGTTGAGTCATAATGCGACAAAGATGAGATTGAGGGAATCATCATCATCATCAGCATATTAATGTCCCCACTGCTGGGGCACAGGCCTTTACTTTGGATGGAATAGATAGATTGGGCCATGACCCAACACGCGGGCTCAGTGCGGATTGGTGGGTGCTAACGACTGCAGATGCAGCCGGGACCAACGGCTTAACGTGCCTTCCGAAGCACGGAGGAGCTCGAAATAGTAATTTTTGATCACCCATCCATTGACCGACCACTGCGACAGTTGAGGGAATATCTAAATTGAAATCTTACAGGCATCCAGTGAGCACCCTAAGGATCAGCAGCATCCACACGTTTGTGGAGAACGATGACGCTATGGAGAAGAACCCTGACGCGATCATGGCTGGCAGCATGACGGCGCGTCTGCCCAGCCGATCGCCCAGATAGCCCCATAGGAACGACGTGCTGATTATACCTTTGAAAGAAGAAAAATAAATAATAAAGAAATATTACCAACACTCACACCAATTAGCCTAGCCCCAGCCCCAAAGTAAGCACTGTAACGCTTGTGTTATGGGATATAAGGGTAACGGATAGAATACATATATTGTACATATACAGGGTGTTAAAATATTTGCATGAAGTTTTAACTTTTTATAAAAACAGTTATTTTTAATGATCCCCGAACTAGTGACGTGTCTTAAAATGATCGATATTTTTATTAATCATTAAACATAACTGTTTCTATTAAAAAAGTTAAAACTTCATGCAAATATTTAAGAAAATTACAGAAGTCTCCTTATATGATTTACTTTAACGCCCTTCCATCTTTATTTGTATTTTTGTAACACCCTGTATAAGTATATTTATAGAGAAATACATATTAAACATCGAGTCGGCGCCACCATGAAAATGAAACCCGGCGTACAAACCTCTCGGCCACGGAGGTCGTCAAATGATCATCATTATCATCATCATCAGTCTATTACTGTCCCAACTGCTGCAACACAAGCCTTCCTTATGGATGGAATGGGGAGATTGGGCCCAGTGCAGATTGTCGGGTGCTAACGACTGCAGATGCAGCCGGGACCAACGGCTTAACGTGCCTTCCGAAGCACGGAGGAACTCGAGATAGAAGATTTCGGTCACCCATCCAATGACCAACCACTGCAAAAGTTGCTTAACTTCAACGATCGCAGCCGAACGTGTTAACCACCACCATCGAGATCCTCAATAAGACAATGGACGGTTTTTTTTTAACACACCAATTAGCCTAGCCGCAAAGTAAGCACTGTAAGGCTTGTGTTATGGGATACTAGGGTAACGGATAGAATACATATACAGTACATATATAAGTATATTTATTTAGACATACATATTAAACATCCATGACTGGAGTACAAATGCTCGTATTCATCACAAAAACATCTGCCCCCACCGGGATTCGAACCCGGGACCTCTCGAGTCGGCAACACCATGAAACCCGGCGTACAAACCACTAGGCCACGGAGGTTGTTAAATGATGGTGTATTTAGGTTTCCAGTGTATTGGTGTGTTTAATGCGTGCGCGTGTAGTAGTTTTAGCGTAGTTGTGTAACAAACATACAAAAACACACACACACAAAAAATGTTCACGTTTATAATATTAGAAGGATTTACTGTTTTCTCAAGAAGCCATGGAAGGCCAAGACTCACCTATTACGATCAAAATATTCGCATTCTAATGATAGGTGGCTGCAGAAGACATGTATGACGGAGGTCATCATCATCATCATCAGCCTATTAATGTCCCCACTGCTGGGGCACAGGCCTCCCCTATGGATGGAACAGGCAAACAGTGCGGATTGGTGGGTGCTAATGACTGCAGATGCAGCTAGGACCAACGGCTTAACGTGCCTTCCGAAGCACGGAGGAGGAGCTCAAGATAGTGTAAGGTTTCATCGTATCAAAATAAAAATATCGATTAATAAGTTTTCGTCTGACATTTCGCAACATTTTTATATATCTGGCCACACTGGCCGCCATCTTAGGGGATTTTGCTCGGTGAAACGAGGCAAGGTGGACGGTACGTTACCGGCAGCCGAAGGAAGCGGCAGCAGATCGATTGACCGGAATAAGTTTTGAAATCTACAAATTATCCCGAATAAGTTTGAAATAGGTGTTAATAAGTTTTGTTCCGCGATAATATTGAGTTTCGACTCCAAGTGAAAGAAGTTTTGAGAGAAGAATAAAATAAGATTTGCAAGACCGACGCAACGTTGTTTCATTTCTGAGATATCTTATAATAGTAAATTTTTAGTCACCCATCCAATAACCGATTACGGACGACTGACGGACGTATATGAAAATAATCTCATTAAAATTAACTTCATATCTAAATCTAATCTACATCTTATTAAATCAATGTGTGTGAAAATTGTTAAGTAATTTACGGCCGCAGTCACCTACCTACTTACCTAATTATGTTTATAGAACATAGGTATTTGTAAAACTGTACTTCCAGGGCCCAAAAGGTGATACTTGTTTTTTTTTGTAGAAAAGGTCTTTTTAACAGTTTTTTTTTCTGGCGCTTCGCCGGCCGCTGCCGCGGCACGCTCGCTTTGCTCGCTCGGCTCGCGCGTTATGGTCACAACACTAACCTAACCTAACCTAGTGTGAAGTATCACCACTTGATAAGAAAAGTAAAAATTTTCAATATTTTTTTTCTAAAAAACTACCAGTGCATAAGTGTGACATTTTTTTTAATAATGTGGTTAACAGAAACCTTTTTAACAACAAAAATGAGAAACTACAACCAACAAAACTGTGAAGTTTTTACTTTTGGGCCCTGGAAGTACAGTATATCCTAGGTATTATTTAAATAAAAGTTCATGATCCTATCTTGGGAGTTCATCACTAAAGTTGTAAAAATATGTTGGTAAAAAAAGGAGACACAAACTACGTTTCAAAAAGTGGCGCCAAATATTTTCTGATTTTTTTTTAATTCCATTTTTCCCTATTGGGAAAGGCAAAGGCAAAGCCACTCAGCCATCTTCTTATTTTAGTATTATCTTCATTTTTTTACATTAGAATGTGGATGTGACGCATAAGTTTCTGTGAGGTAGTAACACTACAATAAAGTTCTCACATCCACAAAATCACACCAATTTTATTTCACAATGTCCACTATGAACGAATTTAAAGAATATTTTAAATATGACGCCAACCGCACTCGATGAAATCCCGCCAAAACTCCTAAAAATTTTCTAAGTACGTAAACAAATGACTGTCTTTGTTTTTTTTTATAAATCACCCGCTCCTCAAATCAAATGATGTTATTTAAGGTTTAGGTTGTGTAGATATTGGTGTCGACTCTGGCATGGTTCTGTAAACCTAAAATTCAATTTGACAACAGTACATCCTTTTCATTCCCTATACAGAATGAAAAGGAGAGACTGATGGTCTGTGTAGCCCTCCATTTTGATTTACACGTCCAGAAAAAAAACCTAGCTATTTTTTTACTCTTATTATTCTAGTTCTACTGTACATCCAGGCTTCATTTATGTATTAAATCAATCTTGAATAGTATATCTATAAACTTATCTATATATTAGATGTGTTAATTAAAAACCATTACTAAATATGATAAAAAGCCAAATATGTGAATATGAAAATAATTTTTTCAACTCGTGGCAGAAATCATCCACTTACACCGACAAGGGGATGCATAAAATTAAAAATAAAACTCATTACAGTACTGCTATCTTAAAATAACTTTTTAATCTATACAGCACACTTTCATTTTTCTTTTATTAAATTATATTTGGCTGAATGTAAAAAAAGAGGCGCACGAATTCGTAATTTGAACTAAAGGACATTGCTCAGCGTCCATACATAGTTAGCCTAAGAACCAACAATCATGAAATATTATTTTCTAGGTTCAAAGTCGTAAGTAAATGACTGTAAAAACAAAGATTATTGACGGACACTTCTGAGAACTTAAATTATTAGGAAAACTAAATTTTTTTTGAGGTTATGTTTAATATTCAATGAAACATAGGTCAACCTATGAATTTAGTATGAACTCAGTATGAAGTGAATTAATATTACAACTAATTCATTTTATTCGGTGCTATTTTAAAGAATAACTATTAGGAAAAACTTGGTTAGGTAGGAATCATGAATAAAATAAAAACTGTAGTTTTGCTTCTTATTTAATGACTATTTTTCACTTAATTGTATCATATTGTTTATTGTATTTATTTGTATATCACATTATATTGTGTAAATATGCAGCGTGAATGTGTATCAGGTGTTCTTGAATAATTTGGCTATTATTATTGATTAGATCCTCTCAGGATGTGGCACTGGTTCACTAGCACTTGGTAATAAGGGCTCTGCTCTTTGGTAATATCGATGGCATATTAGATAGTTAAATTAAAGGAAAATCAATCGCAAATAAACACACACAACAGGTAATCCGAAACGAGAATGCACTTTCCGGTATATTATATACTACTCTTTGGAATGCACGAATGCCACAGATTACTACAAATGAAAACTGCATGCATCACAACCACAGAGTAAAGAATTTTATGCCGGCCCTTCTCTTGACAACAGTTTGTCCTTGTCATGCTTAGTAAGGAATGAAAAGGACAGACTGATGTCATGTTTTAAAATAGCAAATACGAATAACCAAGTGAAGTGCCGACATTAGGAAGAAAAAGTGTTTTGTTTGCAGCGCTGCCATAGATTATACACATAAAATGGTATTTATTGTCTCAGATTATTTTTTAACTTTTTAATTTAGCTTACTTAACTGGAAGTGTCCGTCACAATCTAAATACTGATAATTATCGCAAAAAATATACTAAGAATTATCATAAATGCCAAATTGGTGTTGGTTCTTAGGCCAATTTTAACATTGTCCTTTCCCACGTTTCCCATACAATCTTCTACCGATTGTTTTTTTTATAGATAGGTCCGACTAATGACTCCACCCCACCTGATGTTAAGTGACGGTGAAGTCCAGACGCGAAAATAGCTGGTACAGCAGTTCTACCTGCCACACCAGCCATCCTCACCCTGCCGGCCTGCATGTTGCTCCTTCACGTCATCGTCTTTTGTTTTCGGGATTTCAGAAAGCATTGTAATATACTTCTTTGTTACCTTACTACTTTGTTTAATTTCAATTGCTCCTATGAGTGAAGATATAGTAGTGTATGCAACTGCATATAATTTAGGTATTAAAACACCAGAGTCAGCCTATTATCGCGTTCAGTTTCGCCTCATGCGATAAACAGACTTTCGTGCTTTAATATCCCATCTTATACAGTCGCATTAAGTACTATTATCTCTTATCTATTAGACAAGTCCGTCCGTCCGTCCGTCCGTGGTGCTGTTTCAGCGGCCAAACCGTAAGAGATAGATATAGAGAATGTTTAAGGTATAAGTTAAGAATAGTATGATAAGACTACAAAACCGGATGTGAGTAAC